GGATTAAATGTAAGTGGCTATTGTTCAGGACGAACAATACTTAGGAAGGGGCAGTGTTACTACAGCGGAAGTCACGTGACTCTGGAAACACGTCATGAGTTTCTAGAAGGATCATGACTGTTCTTGGCAACTCTAGTGTTTGCCAGATGCCCTCTATTTTTGTATATATAGATAATTGCAGACAGACAGAGACGGAAAATTGAGTCAAGAGCGATAGTGAAGTGCATGAATCGTTGTGAATTATTGCGTGTGTTTAAGTAAAAGTGATGGTGGAAATTAAGTGTATTGCAAAGTTATATTGAGAGGGAATAAACTAGTTTTATTTAAGAATGGACTTGTGTTGCTGAAGTTTCATCGGAAATAAATTATACAGAAAATTAACAAACGAATAGAGACGTAACAGTATGCACCAAATATCAATTCATTGAAACAACCATATTTAATATAAGAAACAACACACAAGCTCAACGGGTACAAAAAGACGCAGGCGAACAAAACACACCACATATACAGACTAATGAACAGCCAACACTACCTACAATGAAAATACCTCTCCTACCAACACCCCGAAACACTAAAATCTCAAAACATGTGCAACAGCAGCCTCCAATAAAACAACAAAGAAACAATGTCACTTGAAGAAAAAAATAAGCCAAGAAACTAAATAAACTACAACAGACAGTCAATAACAAGAAACATACTATTTCATGAATGTTTTGAAAAATATGATATATGAATTTGTCAGCAAACAAAAGAAGATTTTATTACAATAATGATAAACATAGCAAAGAAACATAATGACATCTTATCTATTCATAAACAGTGAATGAATTTGCAGTTCTTCATTTCAACATCCAAGATGGGCTTAGGTGGCCTAGCTTCAAAGCGGAATGAGATCGAAGATATAATAAGTCGTGCCAAAGTGGATATAATAATAATCACAGAGACTTTGATGAACAAACACAACAGATTTAATATAAACAACTGCATTACTGTAAGGCACGACAAAGAAACAAAAGACACACCAAATGGGGGCATCTTAGCTCTTTATAAAAACACACTATCCGTAAAAAACATGTTTTACCTCCGAAAACGAAAGTATAACTTTAGAAAATAACACTACTCTTACTATCGCTGGTCGAAATTGCTCCCCGAGAAATAATATAGATGTAAGCCTACTGCAAAGTATTGCAACCTAATACTATAATTACATAATAATAGGAGACTTGAACAGTAAAAAAGGATGCACCACGACGACAACTAACGGCAGAAAATTGCAAGAGTTCTTATAGAATATCGACACTATCCTATTCAATGACAATACCCCGACACACATTAGCTATGCATATAATATTAATGATATTTTAGATCTATGTATAAGTTCTAGTGGCCCGACATGGCCAGGTGGTTATGGCGCTCGACTCGCAATCTGAGGGTCGCGGGTTCGAATCCCCGTCACACCAAACATGCTCGCCCTTTCAGCCGTGGGGGCGTTATAATGTTACGGTCAATCCCACTATTCGTTGGTAAAATAGTAGCCCAAGAGTTGGCAGTGGGTGATGATGACTAGCTGCCTTTCCTCTAGTCTTACACTACTAAATTAGGGACGGCTAGCGCAGATAGCCCTCGTGTAGCTTTGCACCCCCGTCACTAAAAGCATTATGGGCAGACAGTAATCGAACTATTCTATCTGGAATATAATCGTCTAGAATATATGAACCTAATAACCGGAGCGAAGTCGGGTACTTTCGCCAGTATATAGATATTTGGATATACTTAATCAATATCATTACACAATTAATTAAGTTAGACATTCCATAG